AGAGAATACAAAAACTAAACCTGCAGTTTAACAAGAAAAAACAGTAAGCTGAAAAATGGGCAACAGACTTGAATGACTACCATTCCAAAGAAAGCACGCAGATAGATGGTCAGTTTATAAAACAGTGCCCAGCACCAGTGATCATTAGGGAAATGTGAACCAAAAACCACAAGATACCACTCACACCCATTGCAATGGTGCTATCCAAAAACTAAACAAAAGATTAGAAAATAGCAAGTGCTCAAAGGGAATGTGGGCAAATCGGAACCCAGGTGCCCTGCTGAGAGGAATGTGAACTGTGGCCCACTAGGGAGAACAGCATGGGGACTCCTCAAAACACGAAAAACAGAATTGCCATGTGATCTAGCAATCCACGACTGGCTATGCACTCCACAAAATCAGGCAGGGTTTGAAAGGGAGGCTTGTTCCTACACACCGACAATGGCATTATTCACCACAGCCAGAAGTAGAAGCAACACAAGAATCTACCAATGAGTAAAAGAGCAAGCAAGACGTCGTTTGTACACACTGGGCCGTATTATTCAGTCTTCCAAAGAAACTGTAACCCTAGTACTCGAGAAGTTCAGGTAGGAGGATCTCAAGTGTATGGGCAGCCTGGGCTACCCTGTCTCGGGGAAAAACAGAAGAAGGGAAGGAGAGGAAGGAATTGGACAACAGGGAAAAAAGGGAGGGGATAGTTATAAAGTAGAAAACCCCAGTGCATCTGGGCTGGCCCTGTAATAAGACCATTCGATTGCCATTTGGTGGCTGGCAGGCAGAAGTTGGTATTCCAGGAATGACAGGCACCTGCAGGCTATCTCGGCACTGCGCTGGCCTGGCCTGAGTCCTCCGTGCGCCTTCAGAGAAGTGGCAGGCATGGAAGCATCTCCAAGCAGCAAGAGGCAGGAAGGGATAGTGAGAACCACACCCTGTTCCCTCCAACTACAGCATGGTGCAGGCCATTCACCAATCAGAAACAGCCCCTCTGTGTGTCAAGGATGTTCCAGCTGAAGGTGTTGGTGATGACAGGAAAGGCACAGTCCTTGCTCCTGTAGGGTTTATATTGAAGGAAAAGGCCATGAAACTAACACACTGAGGGGTCTGGCTGGGATGTAAACAGGTCAGCACATTCCAGGCGTCAGTTCGCCGCTTCTTCTTTGGGATTCTTTGGATCACTTCATACTTTGCAGCCCATTTCTTCTCTGTTACTCTGAAAAGCTTTTGTCACGCTTGCTCCCCCTGACCATTCTCAGGAGCTTTGTCGGCGGGAGGAAAGAACTCCGGGTGTGAAGCTTGCGTTCACATTCCGTCGCGTTTCAACCCAAATAAGTGGAGAGTGTGCGGTTCACGGGACCCACGGGGGCACTGCACCCCGATGTCATTGGGGGGCCGGGTCTTCACCTCCCTCTCTGGGCCAGGTACTGTGGTGGGACCACATTGAAGACCAATGTCACCCCAGAAAGCTTCTTCACTGTGAGCAAGCACAGCCTGAGCCAGCCGCGGGAGCCGTACCTCGGAGCTCGGCCCAGGCTGCTTAGTGGGCAGCACAAGCACCAGGACCTTCCAGGGTCCGTGTCCCTCCTGTGTCCAGTATGAGGACCACAAGAGACAGGGACTGAGGGGCCTTGCTAAAGTGAACTGTCATAAAAGACAAAGGTCAAATCCAACCCAACCCAACGGCACCTCCCCCAACAATCCTAGTGAATAAAGTAACTTCGCTGAATACTGATTTGCAGTCTTGTAAATGTCCTGAGATTTGCCCACCTGTGTGTGTGTGTGTGTGTGTGTGTGTGTGTGTGTGTGTGTGTGTGTGTGTGTGTGTGTGTGTGTGTGTGTGTGTGTGTGTGTGTGTGTGTGTGTGTGTGTGTGTGTGTGTATGTATGTGCTGGTTCTAGGCTTGAACTCAGTCACAGCTCTACTTCTGGCTTCTTTGGTGGTTAATTGTAGATAAGAGTCCCAAAGACTTTCCTGTCCAGGCTGGCTTTGAACTGAAATCCTCAGATCTCAGCCTCCTGAGTACCTAGGATTACAGGTGAGAGTCACCAACACCCAGCATTGTCTACTTATTTTTAAAACATAAATAGATCAAGCATTATTAAATAAGTATTCCCAGTATCTGTCATGGAGAGCAGGTAATATGAAGAAGAATCATGACAGCAGAGGTGGAGGCCCAGGGCCGTGGCTCAGTCACCAGGCTCAGTCTTGATCTCTTTTTCCTTTATTTTTGTTTGTTTTTCTGGTAAAGCCTCATGCTAACTTTGCTCGAGCCAGCTTCAAACCCCAATCTTCCTTTCTCTTCCTCCAGAGTGGCTGGGGCTGATTACATGTGTGCGTCTCTGCGCCTCGCTGGATCACCTTCTAGAGCCCCGCACAGCCACTTTCCATTTGCTGGTTGGAGGTCAGCAGGTCTGCCCGGGGCAGCTCGAGGCTCATCCTGCAGAGGGCCTCTGGGAACACTTGTGACCACTGTGCTGGGCTGCTGCCAGGTGCCCAGGCCTGGCAGGTGCCCAGAGGCTGCGGGGCCTCGGTGCCACGGAGAGGCAGAGGAGATGCGTGCACTGAACGCTGCCTGGCTACGGAGCCCCTGCTGTTTCTCCCAGCCCCAGCATCTGTCACTGACTTGAGAACCAAAGACGAAGCTCCCAGATCTGCACTACAATCATCAGCCACCTTCCTCTCTTAGCAGCTGGAGTGTTAGTTAAGCAGCGTGATCTGCCTGCCATGTAGAAGAAGGTTGGCCGTGTGTTGATTCCATATCCTAACTGTGCGACTGCACCGAAGATGGCTAGTTGACCTGTGTTTGTTTAACTTGGGCCGAAACTTGCTAAAGTAATAGTCTTCTCTTTTTTTAACGTTTTTGTTTTGTTGTCTTCTGGTGAGTTTTTTGTTTGTTCATGTTGTTTTTTAATCCTCGGAACTGCCCTGTGCAGCTCCTGTCTGTCTCCGCTAGCTGGGGCTGGCATAACGCACATAGGCACACTTCCTGGGTGTCTGGGGGTTCTTCAAAGTCCATGGCGTTGGGGTCGAGGACGTGGTGGTCTTCAGATGCCAGATGAACCTGGATGGAAGCCGCCTTCCCGCGCCCTCGCGTGGAGCTGTGAGGGCCGCCGGGCCTGGGCCCGGCGACTGCCAGCGCCTCTCAGCCCTCAAATGCTCTCCTCTTGCGACCCCCAGTGAGCGGACTCCACCTGAGGGTTACACGCGTGTGACAAGCCCACAGGTCACACCACGCAAGGCACCAGGCCCAGTTGCAGGCAATGGGGAGTGGCGTTTAGCTGTTTCTATATTTTTTAAAAAATCAGGGCTGTGAGCTTGCTAGGTGCTCTACTAATTGAACCATGCCCCTGGCCTTCTTGTACTTTTAAGTGTTTGTTGTTGTTGTTGTAAAGGTGATGTACAGAGGGGTTGCCGTTACGTAAGTCGGTAGTGAGTACAATTCTTTGTGAACAGTGTCACCCCTTGCCTCGTTTTCTCCCAGTTTTTCCCTCCCATCCCTCCTTCCCCACAAGCTGTGTAATTCGTTTTCAACAGTGTCTAGTGAGTACCACTGCTGCATTTGTTCACCCTTTGCTCCACCATTTCTATGCTCCCACTTTGGTTATTTTTTAGACAAGGTATCACATTTTCACCCAGGGCTGGCCTCAGACAATGATCCCTCTACTTCTGCCGGCTGGTAGCTGTGATTACAGGTGTGAACCTGGCCTGTTGGTTGAGGTAGGGTCTCACTAACTCTTTGCTTGGGCTGTGTTCAAACCATGATCCTTCTGCCTCCTGAGCAGATAAGGTTACAATCAAGAGCTCAGTTCTCTGCTTTATCTTTTCTAAAATGAAAAGTCAGTGCCTCTCCAGCTACCTTTTTTTCCCACACCACAGTAAATGAATGGGTGGGTGGGTAGATGGATGGATGGGTGGGTGGGTGGGTGGGTGGGTGGATGGGTGGATGGAGGGAGGGAGAGACTGAGGGAGGTAGATGTATGGGTGGGTGGATGGATGGATGGGTGGGTGAAGAGAGGGAGGGAGGTAGATGTATGGGTGGGTGGATGGATGGATGGATGGATGTGGATGGGTGGGTGGGTGGGTGGATGAGTGGATGGATGAATGGATGGATGTTGATGATGGGTGGATAGATGGATGGATGTGGATGGATGGATGGACTGATGTGGATAGATGGATGGATGGGTGGGTGGATGGATGGATGGATGAGTGAGTGGGTGGGTGGATGGATGGATGGATGGGTGGGTGGGTGGATGGATGGATGATGGATGGATGGATGGATGGATGGACAAATGTGGATGAATGGATGGGTGGGTGGGTGGGTGGGTGGGTGGGTGGGTAGGTAGGTAGGTGGGTAGATGGGTGCTTTGGTGGGTTCAGCAGATCTTGATTTCATTATCTTAAGAATCCAAGCAGCTGTCATTCACAGAGTCTCTTGATCTCTCAAAGTATGCACAATAAAAATGGAGGTGTAACTCCAGATTTTTTTTAGAAATGTCTTTCCAGGGAAGGGTGAAGGGGAAACAACATAGGGGAATCTGTTCGAAGTACATTTTACACATCCACGAAATTACCACAGTGAACCCTCTGTACAATTAATGTATGCTAATGAAAACATTTCCATTGAAATGAGCGTATGTGAAGGTGGGTAGCTTTTATGTGAATTTTTATATATGTTAGCTATAGCTTGCTAATCATGTACACTGATGATCTGGTCTAAGTGTCGCAAATTCTTTCAGGATGTTCCAGCATGGTGGAAACTACTCTGGGTCCTGTAACCTAATAGGACAGCTGGCTGAACTTGAACTGTGACCTTTGCCACTGGGGAACTGAAATATTTTTGTGCTATTCTGTTCTATTTTATCTTATTTAAAAGCCACATGTGCTGTAAGGACAAGCAGGCCTGAAGCTGTCACAACTCTGAACCATTTAGGACTCGATTTCATGTGTGCATTTTACTGTTCCACTGTCTACAACTGCCAAATGGGTTTTATTTCTCTCCCCAGATTCCATCACTCAGCACAAGGTGTGTGACTTTGAAAACTACTTGTCTCTTCAGTGACGAGAGCTTGGCCTGTGGCCACTGCGGCAGGCTTGCAGAGCTACCTTACATCCCCAAGTGAGAAGTGGCTGTGAAAGAAGGATCTCGTGTGCCGAGGACGGCTGCGGCCCCGCGTCTGCCCCGCGTCTGCCCCGCGTCTGCCCCGCGTCTGCCCCGTGTGTGATGGGGCCTTCGTCTCCAGAACGCATGCGTGACCTGCTGGTGGTCGCGCCTGTATCCCCCAGCAGCGCTGGCCAGGCTCCTGCTAGGCGCTTTTTCTGCTAGGCTAGTTTTTTATACCTTAGTCATAATCATAATTAAAATGACACCGAAATTTGTCCTTAAAGCATTGTACTCCCAGAATAAAAACTAACTTCAATTGTTTGACTGCCAAGAATAGCCAGAGAACCCCATACATCTATTGGCTTCTCGGGATGTGATAGTCCTAGTAAATACGAAGGCTGTTCGCCTGTGATTGAAGTTCCGTTGATGTATCTGAGGTCCCCCCACGGTGACTGTGGAGGATGTGTGGCGGTGTTGTATGATGAGCTCGCTCCTGTGGGCAGCGCAGCACTGGCAAAAGGCCGAAGCCTGCACCGGCCCACGGTGCCCTGGAAGGTAGAGGAACACCAGTCCCAGTAGGAGGGGAGATGGCGCTGAATGCTCACCACACGGTATTGTTACCTTATTTGTCTGCTCCCTGTCTGAGCGACTGAAGTCCTATCTGCCCAACGCTTCACTCAGAAAATGCCTGCCGCCCTAGCCTCTGCCCACAGAGGCTGTGTCTGCAGTGCCAAAGAGTGACTGGACCACACTCCACGCATGTGCCCTGCTCGCAAGGGAAGCTCGGCCTGTAGGCAGAAGCCACTGAGTGCTCCGTCCCCTGACGTAACCCCCCACCTCCGCTCCCTGCGGATCATGCCCACCAAGGTTGCCCTAAGTGATGTCTAATTCGTAAGTGCTCTCTTGCAGTTTATTAAACCTCCTTCCCACTCTGACCTCTGAGGCTGGGCAGGTGGGTTCTTATTTTTTCCTTTGCTCATCAAAAGTAGATATTCGCTCATTTAAAGACTTTAAGACAAGTGTCAGGGTTTGGAAAGCGTATGACCCCAGTAAGGTCAACTCACCCATCTATATGTACACTGACTGAGGACAGGTAAGTTGGCATAGTGGCTTATTCATAAGAATATCCACACCCTTGATACACATAATAGAAATAAAACATCCTAATAGAAGAAATCTTTATGATGTATAAACCAAACTGAAAAGAAATGAGACAAACATTCAGCAACATCCAAATAATTTAGTGGGTTATACATCAGTCTGATAAAATGTCAAATAACCTTTACAATTATGAAAGTTGGTCCAATGTGGGAAATGTTTATGATGTGAAGTAAAAAATGAAATAATTATTTTACTACAATCAGAACCAGGCAAGATTCTGTATTACAGCACAGTGAAAGTATAGGAAGGCAACACAGAGAAATGCTGTGGGAGAGGTAAGCAACCACAACTGGCTTTTACATAACTTTTCTCAGTGTCACAATATTTGATCAGCAATATTACCAATAATTTTGGGGGGAAAAAATCCAGGCATCTACGTAATCCAAACCCTCAAAGCTCAAAGCTTTCTTCCCTTCGCAGTGTGAGTGTCGTATATTTGCTGTGTCCTTTTTCTTTGCCGACATGTCCATCCGATGTTTTGTGGTTGTATTGCTGAAATAGCCCAGGCTTGAATTTTCTTATCTTCCCTAAGGGATAAAGACACCTACTGATGGCTGCCTTCAGATAGCAGGTTTCCGAGGAGGTAAAGCTCCTTGCTAACTGGAATTCAGGTCCTTCCCGGCTGTTTCTCCTTTCTCCCTTCCCTCCAATTTTGCTCCTTCTGCCCCCTCTTTGCTTCTCTTTGTCGTCCTTCTTTTCTATGCTCAATTCTAATTTCCATCTCTTCTTTCTTACTTCCCCTTCTTTGCTAGATGCCAACATGGGTTTTGTGGCAGTAGAAATGCTCTCACTAAAGTGGAGATGCAAGCAGACCTGTGCTCCTCAGCAGAAGCCTTGGGGAGAACCCGCTTTCCTGAATTCCTCCGGTATGGGGCGGGGCAGGCGGGGGGTGGGGGGGCTTCAGCCTTCCTGGGATCACAGCCCCCCCCCCCGCCCCCGCTTCGCTCCACAGCCATGGCCGGATGGTGGCGGGATCTTTATCGGCTCCCTTCACGCTGACACTTACTCTTTTGCCTCTGCTACCTCACTTGAAGACCCTCAAGGTGACATGAACCGCCTTGGCGTTGCCCAGAAGGTCCTGGATGACACCTTGGTTTTAAAGTCAGCACCCCATGTACATCCTGTCCTCCGTGCGTGAGGTCCCATGGCGTGTCTCCCTCCGAACGCAGACATGGTGGGGTGAGGGGGCTCCTGTCCGCCACGCTGTCCCCAGGTCCCCACAGCAGTGTGGCAGGCTCACGAGCGTTCTCAGCACAGCCAGCCCGAGGCCCCGCACAGCAGCGTGTGAGCGCCCTCACTCACTGAGTGTGCTCCATTCAGAGTCCTACCTGCCCAAAACACAAGCAGCTCGTTCCAAGCAGCTCCCCAGAAACCAGCAAGTGCACAGAACACAGGCCTACGTCCGAATCACCCAGGCCGTGGAGAAGGAGTAGAAAATGTGTTTACCTATGATTATAGTGTATCCAACAATTATTTGACTTAATTGACCATAATACAAGGCCTGGATATCTCTATCTGAGACTTATCTGTGGTTATAATTAAATCTTGACCTCTAGCTCACAGTATTGCTTCTTCTCCAGTTTTATTTTAAACTACTCAAGCTTTTATGCCAAGAAGACAATATCTAGTCTTATCCCTCTATTATTTGAACTGTTAACTGAGACAATAATTAAAATTATTGACCTGTAACTAAACAAGAGCATACAAATAGTCTTCAGGCTAAACCAACATTTTCCTTGGGACAAGTCCCCAGCTTAGGCGTTAATATTTTCCCAAAGCCCTAGCCCTTGCGGGGCTCGGCTCCACCTAGAACACTACAATGTTGGCAGCCACTGTCGCTTATTAATCTGGTTTCAATTTTTTAAGCACTTTGGATTCACAGCTTATCTATGGGAACAAATAGTTGTTCTATCTTTAATAGTCCAGAGGGAAGACGGACAGCAAAAGTTCATTTCATCTGCCTTCCTACAAGCCAGCAAGTGTGATCTGAGCCAACGCTAAGGGGAGAGGACTGATCTGAGGAAAGCCGCCCTGGGCTGGCCCAGCGCCCATCTGTCAACAAGAGACAGGCTGGGGTACAGTTCAAGGCAACCACTCTAGCAGTGTGGGCCGCACAGGGACCAGAGAGAGCGGGAAAAGGAAGAGGCTGCCAGACCTCAGGGCTCCACCCCAAGAACCTGTTATCAGCCAGACCCCAAACTTAGCCAGCGACATGAAACCCAATCACTAAGTTATTAAGAACTGGTCAGAGAGAGAGAGAGGACTGTTTGTCCTAGGAGGACAGGGGAAGGGCCCGGGAAGGGCTGTGGCTCACTAGGCTATAGGTCTTGTTCTAAAACCAAACTGGGAGTCTGTGGGAATCTCACAAAATCAACCTCGTGTCAGAGGTGCAGTGAAAGACTGTCACTTCATCTTGTGACCACAGAGACCAGAAGGAAACTGCATTGGTCAGAGACCTACTGTAGAATCTGGCAGCTTGCTTCGCTCGAGTACTTTCCACCACGCCCGTTGTTAAAGATTTATTGGATTCCAGGGCCACGTTGGAATAGCCTTTGAGCCCACGTTAGACATAAAATACCTGAACCCTAGGATTAAGGCCCCACATCTTTAACTTGGCAGAAAAGGAGCAAAGGGAACTATGAGTTTTAACTTTAATGTGCCCGAGCAGTTGGCCTGTCACCAAGGTGAAGGGATCTTACTTTAAAACAGACATCTTGTCCACAGTACCCCCCAAAGCAGGAGTCCTATACCCGCCCCTCAAGTCGTAACCCGCCCGGACTCACAGCACACCTTCCAGCAAATGGCAGAGATTGCTTTAAACCAAATGGAAAGAGCCAACAGTTAGCATTTCTTTTGTATCAAACAACTAAGCACCGGCCCTCAGATAGCTGATGGACTTGAAGAGCCTGGGGTCAGAAAACCAATTGTGATTCCTGGTGAAAAGCTCAGTGTGAAGCCTGGAGGGAAAGGGCTAGTTCTCTGAGAAAAAGAACCGTTTCAGAAGACACATGCAGAAGAAATGGACCTCTGATCCATTTCCGGAGGAAGCATAGTCATCTGCAGAGTGGGAAGGGACCAGGAAGAGGCCAGGACCCGCTAAGGAATGAGGATAGAATGGGCTTCACTATGGCTGTGCATCCCAAGGAGCAACGAGAAGGTAGCACAGCAGAAGGCCACTCAGATGTGTGCGTCAGTCACTGGAGAGAGGCTCTCCTGCCTTTCTTAGAGAAATGAGGCGGCTTTGGAGGAAGGGCTGGAGAGTAGGAAAGGATGGGTTTGGGATGCGTAGGAAAGAATGACCAGACTTCTTCGTGAGACAGGTGTGCCGGCCGGAGCTAATCCTCCTGAAACCATGCCACACACCAAGTAGGCTCAACACGTTGAAAGTAATTAAAGGACATGAAGGGTCAAGAAATCCTCCTCAATGATAACACCAAATTTTGGAACAAAGTAGAATTTTTAAATATTAGAATGACAAAATTCAGTGTTTCAATATTTTTGAAAACATACATGACCCAAGTAGCAAGCCCAAACCAAGGAGTTTTCAAAATACAGGTGAGTGGGGACAAAAAACACTCCATGGGCCAAAAACCCTGCCTGGTGCCAGTGCCCACAGGAGGAGGAAGGGAGCCCTGACCCCCCTGACCCCCCCCCAGTGGGAACAGGTAGTCCTGGAAAGCACCGCAAGGGCTGCCGGAGCAAGGCTCTAGGTTTTGCTTTAGGTTTTATCTGTGAGAGCAAGAGGCCCACAGTCTACCCACTACACTCTCGAAACCAACCCAGCTGAGTGGCCATGTAGGCCAGAGCCTAATCTACTGGAAGTCCTTGGGAGTTGGGTAGTCATGGAAGACACAAAGTTTTTTTAAACAAAGTCAAGACCTGGGTCAGAGGGTAAATATATTCGGCTTTGAAGTCCAGAGTCCCTCAGCCGCAGCCAAAGCTGCACAGAGAGACTGCTCCAAGCACAGTCACACCAGAGGACTTCAGAAATTCAGGGGAGACACAGTTCAGTTCATAGCAATTTTTTTCAAATGTATATGACAGGTAAGAAAAAATTTAATCATCCAATTTTCTCGTTTGCAGTGCTTTTTATGAAAGAAAACAAAATCACATCTTTAAGATATTCAAGGAAATATTATGTCCAAAGCAACTGACTTGTAAGTAAATAAGACACAAGCAAACTACTGTCAGTATGCCAGGACATGGGAATTATCCCTGACTCAGGAATTCATTATAGATCACTTCAGACAACCAAGATGAGTGGCAAGACATGGACTTAGGCATTGACGTGAGTATATAAATAATCGGTAGGTAGATAAATGAATAGACACACAAACACATATGAGAGAATATAGTATGTAATATGTATGGGTGTTAACAATGTATATATGCTACAGCTACTTAAGAAATGGCAGGAGAGAGCTAGATACCAGTAGCTCATGCCTAAAATTGTAGCTATCTCAAAAATAACCAGCAAAAACAAAGACTGGAGGCATGGTTCAAGCATTAAGTGCCAACCTAGAAAGTACAAGGTTCCAGAAGTGAAGCTGTGGCTAATTGGTAGAGCACTAGCTTGAGCACAAAAAATTTAAGGACAGTTCCCAGACGCTGAGTTCAAGTCCCAGGACTGGCACAAAAAAGTGAGACCTACAGCTAACTTTGTAGCAATAACAATGAAAACCAGAGCAAGTGGAATATCTTTAATATATTAGAAAATAATTACAGATCTGCAATTGGAAAAGCCAGTGAAACTTGCAAGGTGAGGTAAAATAGTTCGAAAATAGGAATAATTCCCACTAAAGAACTTCACAAAGACCATGGAAGGACATGCTTCAGGAAACTGAGATACCAAAAGTATGAGGTTTGACAAGTGACAAATGATGGACACATTGAAATGCGTGTTAAACAAACAATAGTGGCACAACCTGGAAAGTCAAAAACAGGCATCGATTCAAACTCAGCACGGAGGCTGGAAGCGGCATCAGTGGATGAGGGCATCCCGAGACTTTTGCTGCACTCAGGAAGAT